CTAAATTAGGGACGGCTAGCGCAGATAGCCCTCGTGTAGCTTTACGCGAAATTCATAACAAACAATCTTTTCAAAAGTTCCCGCCCCCTTTCAAGACTGGCCAATGGTTGCCCGCATAAGATATAAAAGATTGAAACATGCTGCAAATGTTTTTTGATTTGTTTTTTCAGTTTTGTGGAAAATACAATGTTTTAAACTAAAATGTCTAATGATGAGAATTTCGCTAATTTTCTTACCATCTACAACAAGGATATTAGGGAAATTGCTTTTAGAAACATACTCATTATCAATCGCATCATTAGCGTGGTTGGTCCAGAATATAAATAGCTTTCTTCATCCTAGTCTCCAACATAAACCTCAGCATTTAATTTTCCAAGCTTATTGAATTTAACTCCACCAAAAGTTATGCTGTGTCAATCGTTTAACTCATTGTGGTCATTGGTTCAGTATAGATCACATAATTAACAAAATCACTGTAGGATATAAATAATTTTTATGTTGACCTGACATAATCTAACGCTAGTCCAAGTATTTATCACACCATAGAGATTTGAAGCTCTATCTGTTATATCTGACTTTTCTCAAATTCTGTGCTAACTTTTCTTAAATTGAGCTTCTTTTCTAAGAACTAGTAATTTTTGTTTTGTTGTTTCTTCTTTATGACCCTCATTTTTAACCCTGGCCTTTGGGTGGATTTTCTTTAAGAAGGTCACCATCAAATGCTATGGTGCTTGAGACTGGTAGAATTAGACCAGATAATATCTGTGGACATCTAACTGGAACTTGCCACATAATAGATAAGACGTTTGTTTGTTTTAGAGCAAAGCCTCATTGGGTTATCTGATGTGTCCACTGTAGGGAATCAAACTCCAGATTTTAGCGTTGTAGGTCCGTAGGCTTACTCTTGTCCCACTGGAGGACTAAATAAGATGTAAGTTTGTATGTGTTTCTGTAACTTATGGTTACTTACTGTATTAAATTGAAATACTTCAATATGTTTGGTTTAGTTTGAATTTCGCGCAAAGCTACACGAGGGCTATTTACCCTAGCCGTCCCTAATCTAGTAGTGAAAGACTAGAGGGAAGTCAGCTAGTCATCACCACCTACCGCCAACTCTTGGAATTGCCCATCTCATTATAACGCCCCCACGGCTGAAAGGGCGAGCATGTTTGGTGGGACAGGGATTCGAACCCACAGATTGCGAGTCCAGCGCCCAAACCACCTGGCCATGCCAGGCCACTTCAATGTGTAATGTTTTAAAATGTTTTTTAAACAAATTTTTTGTTTGGCATTAAATAAAAATCTATTTACATTGACAACTGTTCCTATAACTTATACATAAGTTTGAATTTCGTAGCATAAAACAAAATGTAGCCGACTTCAACAATAAAATAATACAACAGGTAAATTTCTCCACATACAAGCATATGGATATAGCATCTCGCTTTTTGAAGTTAGGTTTATTTGTTCACAGATATCATTCGCACTAGCTATATTTAAGGGCTACCTGTACTAGCCGTCCCTAATTTTCAGCTGATAGAATAAAGAAAAGACATCTGGTTAACAGAACTTACTTACCAACCCTTGGAATAATCTTGTCTAACTGTGTGATTTGACAGTCACTCTTATAATGGCAGAAAGCGATTTTATTTTAGCCTTAACACGGCTCGAATGAGGATCTACGTGCTAACTATGGACCACACTCGACCCTTATTCTTAGTGGGCTGATGATTAATCGGTTTCGTGTTTTGTTTGTCAAGTCCGTGTTGAATAGTTAACACTGTGTTAGTTAAGGCTAATAAGGACTGATATAACTCAATATCACAAGTTTTTATCAATGACAAGTTCAAATTTCTTGTCGGATGTGAGATACTGTTCTTTTTCTTTTCATCTTGGGTGAAATAAACACCTAACTTAAACCTGGATATTTGAGAAAACTATAGCGTTGAACTGTAACAAGCTATTCTGGTGCGTCAGTAGCAATTACTCTATTTATTTTATTACTTTCTCTGGGGTGAAAAGTTTAATATATTTTATTAATTTTTGTTATATAATGTATCAATATAGTAGTACTATTTGAACTTCTTAGCTTAATAGATGGAACCATTTATACATATATATTTATACGTTTCAATACTTCGAAAATTTAATCTCTATGAAATGTTATAACTTATTAGGCCCCCAGTGGCACAGCGGCATGTCTGCGGACTTACAACGCTAGAATCCGGGTTTCGATACCCGTGGTGGGCAGAACACAGATAACCCATTGTGTAGCTTTGTGCTTAACTACAA